TCCCAGGAGAGGCTCCTGCATGGACGCTGTCCCTTGCCTCTTTCAGCTCTTGGCCGTGGGCACCTCGTGTTCCTTGGCTTGTGGCTGCTTCTGTCCAGCCTCAGCCTCAGCCTCCATCTTCATGCGGCCTTCCACGTGGGCTTCTCCTCTGTCTGTCTCAGATGCTTGTCATTGGCTTCAGGGCCCGCTCAGGCAATCCAGGATGATTGCTTCTCAGGGCCCTTGATTGCATCTGCAAAGACCCTTTTTCCAAATGAGACTGCACCCATGGGTCCAGGGTGGACGTGTTTTTGGGAGGCCTCATTCAACCCAGTACATCCTCAACAAGAGAGCAGGCGCGGGCCTGCTGGGTGAGCACTCCCATCTGGCTCGGAGTGGTTTCGGGAGATCCGTAACCTGCTCCACAGGAAACCGGCCACTAATGAGGCCAGCAGGGCTCAGGCCCTCTGCTGCCTCCTCCACCCTTGCCTCCTCCATGAGGCGAGGTATTTGCTCCATTTGGCAGATGAGAAGACTAAGGCCATGGCGCCAGTAGGTGGCAGAGCGGGGGCTGAGGTGCAGGATTTCTCAGCCCAGCTGAGAGTCCTGAGCTCTGAGTTCTAGTCTTGGTCCTGTTCCTGCAAAGGTGTGGCTTGAGCAGAGTGGCTTAACCTCCCAGGACTCAGGCGGACCTGAGCCTGCTCTCTGAAGCCTGGTTCCAGTACCAGCGGCCTCAGCCTCACCTAGGAGTCTATCGGAAATGCAAGCTCTGAGATGCCCCTTACCCCGCAGGATTCTGAGTCGGAATCTGCATATTAATGATGACTGGTGGGGCCGGCACTGTGGCATAGCGGGTAGAGCCCCTGCCTGCAGTGCCGGCATCCCATATGGGCACTGATTTGAGTCCCGGCTGTTCCACTTCTGATCCAACTCTCTGCTATGACTTGAGAAAGCAGGAGAAGATGGCCCAAGTGCTTGGGCCCCTGCACCTGCATGGGAGACCCAGGGGAAGCTCCTGGCTCCTGGCTTCAGGTCAGGTCAGCTCAGTTCCAGCCATTGTGACCATTTGGGGAGTGAACCAGTGAATGGAAGACTGACACACACTCTCTCTCTCAACTCTGCCTTTCAAATAAATAAATTAAAAAAAAATAATGACTGGGATGCACCTGACTAAGAAGCCACTTCACCTGCTTAGCAGGAAAACTGGGCCCTGCAGCTCATGCACTCAGGAGTAAGGCCTTCTTCTCACTAGGCCCTTGATGGGATGCTGCAAAGGACAGACCTGTCTAGGTGGGGCCTGGGAGCTGGGGAGGGAGCACCGGGGAAGTCTGGGGCCCCGAGAGTAAGGGCTGGCACCAGCATCAGCGGCAGGGACAGGGTGGGAGGCTGGTCTAAGGGACCCACAAGCCAAACCTAGCAGGTGCTTAGGACACCAGGAAATCTGGACACTTTGTGTCATTTAGGATAATTAAATATTATCTGCTGGTATTAGCCTGACTTGGGGGCTGAGGGAGGGCACATCATCTATTTGCTATGCAGGGCTTCTGGACTTTTCTGTCCATACTAGCAGCTCTTGCCATGTGTGGCTACTGAGTGCAGGAAATGGGGCTGGTCCAAACTGAAATGTTTTTTAAGTGTACTGTAGGTGCTAGATTTCCAAAAGTTAATGTGAAAAGCAGGTTTATAAATTAGCTCATTAGTATGTTTGTGTTGATTACCTAATAAAGGAATTGTCTAGATTTAAAATTGGGTTAACGACAATGTATTATCAATATAATGTGTTTCACATGCTTTTTTTTCCTTTCAAAATTTGGCTTCTCACCAATTTTAAGTGACCCAAATAGCTCCCTTGTGTGGCTCTTGGACAACATTGCCCTAGCCATTTAAATCCAACCCCAACAAGGCTGATAGATCAATGAGGTGGGCGCATGGTTTTGCAGGCAAATTTTGCCAATAAGACAGTTTAGCTATAGCTTGTACTTAATAGGAGTAGGATTCCAGACCTTCAACCAATCAAAGCTCTCCCAGTCTCTACTGGCTTGGCCCTCATGTCATAACCTGATGATCTGGAACACGGCTGGGAATTGCTGAGCCGCAGCATTTCTCATGGGTTCAGGAGTTCTGATCACACCACATTTCCAGGGCTGCTGGGAAGATCAAACAAGGAACATGTGTGGCACCCAGCTTAGCACCCGGCACACGGTGGATGCCACCTCGTGGCCTCATCCACAAGGGGGAGAGGCTCTTGTGTGACTTTGGCATTCAGCAGGTGCTCCACTTGGGCCCATTAAGCTGGACTCACAGGGTGGCTGAGAATACGAGAATTCATCACTGACCGTGACTGAATCATCCCCACAGCCGCTCCAGCCGCTAGCTCTGTGCCAAGTCCAGGTGTCAGGAATTCGCAAAACAGCAGCTGGGCCGTTTTGCTTGGAAACCACCTGGAAGGCCAGCTCAGCCATTCAGCAACACTTGGAGCTGTAAACATCCCGCTACTTCCCCACCCAGCCAAGCCGGCCTCCTGAAGGCTGCTGTCCAAGCACAAGCGCGCGGCTGTGAGCAAGGAGCCGTCCTCCTGAGCCGCCCTCTCCTGCCCTCAAACCAGACAACTGTTTGTCATCTTTTGTTCCCTGTGCGGCATGCTCTCCCTCCCACTCCCTCCCCTCTCTCTCCCTCTCTCTGATTTACTCAAGAACACTAATATGTAGACATCCCTTCTATTGCTGCCCTACCAGATCTTCCCTGACTCCGACACCCTTGGGACTCCTCAGCATTTCCTGGGCAAGGCCTACTACTCCGGGGTTAGTTCCTCATCATGGAGCAAAAACAGCTTCCACCACGGGTCCCAGTTCTTTCCTCTGAAGCCACACAAGGAAGGTTAGGTCGGATTTATTCTATTATGACATCCTTCCTAGGAAAGCAAATCTCCACTAAATCTACTCCTTTTTTTTTTTTTTTTTTTTTTTTTTTTTTTGACAGGCAGAGTGGACAGTGAGAGAGAGAGAGAGAGACAGAGAGGAAGGTCTTCCTTTACCATTGGTTCACCCTCCAATGGCTGCTGCGGCTGGCGCACTGCGCTGATCTGAAGCCAAGAGCCAGGTGCTTTTCCTGGTCTCCCATAGGGTGCAGGGCCCAAGCACTTGGGCCATCCTCCACTGCACTCCCGGGCCACAGCAGAGAGCTGGCCTGGAAGAGGGGCAACCGGGACAGAATCTGGCACCCCGACCAGGACTAGAACCTGGGGTGCCAACACTGCAGGCAGAGAATTAGCCTATTGAGCCGCAGCACCAGCCTAAATCTACTTTTAAGTAAACCTTTATCACTTGGATTTGCAAAACATTATGCAGAGTAGAAGAAGGCGCGAGTGAAAGGTTGCATCTCCTCTGCCTCCGTTTATGTGAAATGTACAGCATAGGCAGAACCTTAGAGACAGGAAGTAGTTTCCTGATTTCCTGGTGCCAGGCTTTCTCTATTGGGGTGATGAAAACGCTCTGGCTGCCCCACCCTGTGACGATCCCAAAACCTGCTAAATTCTACTCTGCAAAGGGGTGAGTTTGGATTATGTGAATTATATTGCAATAAGACAAATAATAATTCAGCGAAACAGCCTGTGAACTCCGATGGCCCCTCTGACTGTTAATGGCATTGAGTAGTGTCTTCTGGGTCCCCTCCCCTCCACTACGGCTGCTGTGTGGGTGTGGCCCTGTTGAGATGACTCTAAATTTGCAGAATTTGGGGTAAGCAAGAAGAATGAATCCAAACCCAGCATTTGCTGTGTACTGGCTTTTTGACTTCGCATGTGTTGCTTGTCTTGTCAGGGCCTTAGTTTTGGCAGGTAGAATTGTGAGGATAACTTAATGGTATTTTACATGTAAAGTGCTTGGCCCAGTGTCTGAAACCTTACAGTTTTCTCCATAAATGTGAACATGAAAATTCCAGAAGTTGACTGATTTGGGGCCCTGACCTCTATGTTCCCTTTGACACCCTCACTTGCTTGTTCTTCTGGAACTTGGGATCAGCAAACCTAAGTCAATCTCACACCCATGGCTTCCATTGAGGCTGCAGGAGAAAATCAAATTCCCCGGGTGGGCTGGAGCCCCGCTCAAGTGGGCATCAGCATTCTGTACTGCTCACGAGCCCCCTCTTGGCTTCCTAAGAGCTATTCCTAACCCCCTCCAACACTCCACCCTCGGTTACCAAACCTCTCTCTTCAGTAGATACTTCTCCTCCCCTCTCTGAGCAGCTTCAGGTTACCAGGCTTGACAACCTGCACGTCCACCCTGACAGTACCCATGAGTGCATCTCTTCCAGCTCCCAATCCCAGCTCCTCGCCCCCTCCAGTTCAAGGTGAATCCTTTTATTTGTGCTTGCAGGCTCCTGGGATTAGAAACATGTTTCAGCCATGGCCTTGGGGAATCCCAGAGCCCTTCTGCAGGGCCTTAGATCTAGATGCTCTCCCCCTGGTTCCACCCTGGTCCAGGATTTACCTTACTCCAGCCCTCTCACTTAGTCCCTTACCCTTGGCCATGCAATTATTCTTAGGCCTGAATGTATATAGCTTCTTCCAGTTTTGACCCTAGATTCTCCACCTTGGCCACTGTTTTGCATTCACTTGGTCTATTCCTCGGTGCACCTTCCAGGTCCTGCTGGTGCCACTCTCACCAGATCTCACTCCCACCACTTCCCATGGCGGAGACAGGAGAGGTGTAGACCACACTAGAAGTGTATGCACTGCGCTTCACGTGAAGTTTCCCTTACTTCAAGGGCAAATGAAATGTCACAGTATCCAACCAGAAACTGTGATGTAGTATCTTGAACAGCAATAGAATCTAATAACTTTGAGATCTTTAATGAAGAGATCGTTAGGCATGACCAACTTTAGTGTGGAATACACAAGGTCAACGGGAGGTCAATGGGAGGTCAATGGGGGTCAACGTCTTAACACCAAGGGAAGGTGATTGTGAGAGTCAGGTTTAATCAACTTCAAAATAGCCAATTAGCAAACAAAACATCTTTCATACCCATTCCTTTGCAGGCTTTGTTCAGCTTTTTGACATCTCGATCCACATCAAAACCCTGATGACTTCTCGCTTTGGCCTGGAGAAAATAATGGGAAAAGTGAGTAAACAATACAGGTAGACTTAAATCATCTCTGGCTGAAATTTGCAGCTAACTGCAAGACTGAGTAGTCAGCCAGACAAGGGACCCGCTGCCATTCCCCACATCGGCACACGTGGAAATCAGCAGGGGAAACTCTGGCCCGGTGGCTGGTACTCCTCACGGCCAGCTGGCCTTGGATGACCGTAAGAGAATGGCCACCTCTGTCCTCAAGTACAATTGGTCTGGCCAGCTCTGCAAGGAGCAATTTTCATAGCAACCCCAGCTTTGTGTATTTGTGTCTGAAACAGAGAAAACGCAGTGCTCCAGTGTCACAGAGGGCTGGTTTTCCCCTTTGGCCACAAGACCCAAGTATGTCCAGGGGATAACTTTTGCCTGCCAGAGACTGAGAGCTCCTGGCTCTGATTACAGATTCATTTGGTACTGTAGACCTCTGTCATCCCTACGGTGAGATGCTGCCGAATTTGCTGAGATACTCTATGACCAAGCAAGAGCATGGGTTTTTTGGGGCAGAAAAGGGCCTCTTTATGTACTGAGCTTCACCCATTGGCATACTATATGCCCCAACTGGTCTTTAGTTACTGAGGTCTATATTACTACTTTCAACTGATTTTTGCTTTTAACTTAAAATAGTTAAAAAAAAAAAAAAACTCATAGAAATCGAGTCTAATGGTGGTTACTGGAGACCGGGGAGGGAGTTGGTTGGGAAGGATGAAGAAAGGTTGAGGAATGGCTGTGAACTTACAGCTGGCTGGTAGTAGGAGGTTCTAGCCCTCTGTTGCACAGTAGGGTGACTATAGATAAAGTACTGTGCATTTGTCCATGAAAAGAGAAAGTTAGAAGATAGGATTCTGGATGCTTTGCCCAAAAGAGATGTTAGATATTTGAGGAGATGGATATATTCACCTTGACTGGACTTTACACAGTGTATACATTTATCAAAATATCGCATGCTTGGGGCTAGTGTTATGGTATAGAGGCTGAAGCCACTGCCTCTGATGCCAGCATCTATATGGGCACTGGTCAAGTCTCAGCTGCTCCTCTTCCCATGTAGCTCCCTGCTAATGTGCCTGAGAAAGCAGCAGAAAATGGCATAAGTGCTTGGTCCCCTGTCACCCACGTAGGAGATCTGGATGAAGCTCTTGGCTCCTGGCTTTGACCTGGCCTGACCTGGGGCATTGCAGCCATTTGGAAAGTGAACCAGTAGATGGAAGATCTCTTTCTCTCTCTCTCTCTCTCTCTCTCTCTCTCTCTCTCTCTCTCTCCCCCTCCCTCCCTCCCTCTCTCCCTCCCCCTCCCCCCCCCTCTCTGGCTCTCCTTTTTCCTCTGTAACTCTGCTTTTCAAGTAAATAAAATAAATTTTTTTGAGAAAAATCATGGCAACTCATAAATATATTTAATAAAAAGTAGCTTCTTAAAACCCTACAAAAAGAATGAAACTTCTATTAGCATGGAAATGGAAAACAATTTTCACTTGCCTAAGCAGAGGGTACCTAATAATGAATATAGCACTATTAAAAATACATCACTACCAGCTAATGGCAGCTGTGCATCCAGTAGTCTTGAACACACCCTGAGTTTTCTCAGCTCTTTGCCTTTCTTTACCTCTGCGAAGTGCCTCATGTCCATTGGAGATTCCCCATCCTTCACAGAAGGTGATTCAGAGCTACTGTGCACCAGCCCCACCCTGAAACTGTTCTCCCTGCTTTCACATCCTTTGGCCGCGGTTGCATGAACAGGAAAGCACACATGGCCCAGGAGCCACGTTACGTGTATCTGCTTGGCACTGTCCTATCCTTTGGGCTACTTCCCTTTCCCCCATTCTTATAGGGCCACTAGGGCTGTCAGCCATGAGGCTTGAGCCTCAGTGCCTGGCCCTCTGGGGCTAATGTGGAATTGGACCCTGTGCCCCGGTGCTAGTGACTTGTTCAGGAGTGGGGATGTAATCCAAGCAGGATCTGTTAGTGTTTCTCTTGATTCATACCCTGAGAGGGATGCATGTCTTTCCCTACTGCACTTGCTGAGAGACTGTGTGTCTGGGTGGCTTTGAACAGTACATAAAGGGAAGAGAGGGGAGGGGAGGGGAGGGGAGGGAAGGGAAGGGAAGGGAAGGGAAGGGAAGGGAAGGGAAGGGAAGGGAAGGGAAGGGAGAGGTGGAGACTGAATACTATTGTGTAAACCTTAGATACAGCAGTGCCTGTAATCCTATCCTCCCCGGTTTCATTACCTAGCGAACTTTTCCTTTGTCTAAGCGAGCGTGGCTTGGGTTTTTGCACTTGCAACCTAGAGTGTCCTAACATGCACGGACTGGGGGAGTGCTGGCTTCTAGGCTTTAGATAAGGGAGAATATTAGACTCCCAGAGCCAGTCTCCAGGCCCCGTATCACCCTACTACCTTTGGGAACGTGAGGGCGCTGTCCAGCTTGAAGTACCTACTACTGAAACAAGCCCAGAGCGGATGGACATTTCTTGGACATCTGCCACCTGCCAGGCAGTTGACAGCCTTTTCTGCCTCATGCATAGGGAAGAGTAGGTGTTAGTAATCTACCTGACAGGTGAGGAGACCTAGGGGCAGCCAAGTTAGAGAACTAGCCCAAGGTCGTGCAGGACACAGGACTGCACCCAGCTCAGCATACGTCCTGACACCACACTCTGCCTCTGGCCCACATGTTGAGGCAAAGGAGTGAGGTATCCCGTTCTCATTATCCAAATCTTTTGTGGGGTAAAAGGAAACTATTGGTGCTTTTAAAGGCTTGTTGGCAGGACAGTTATGTATTTTGTGGGACTCAGTGTCGGGCTCCTTGCTCAGATGCACTGCGAATTTCAATGTGGTGACATCAGCACACTGAGCCAAACGCAGGGACCTTCAGGGTGTGGGGCCCTGCGGGACCCTCAGGCTGCACACTTAGGAAGCCCACCTGCTTTCTGATCAAATTCTGGAGGAGCTGCTTCTCTGGGGATGGCCTTGCAGTCTCAGAAGAGCGTGTGGCGTCTTTGCCTTCCATCAGAAGTATGACAGAGGGCTCAGGAAGTGAGGTAGTACTGAGCCAGAGGGCAGAGGTTTCCCACGCACGGGGTAATCCATAAACATTCGGTAGGTAGGGTCAGCCTCATGGGTGCAGGGATTTTACCAGGACACCGCTTACCCATCCCACTTCACAGCTGGTGAGCAGACACAGAGACCCGGAGCTGGGTGAACGGCGTATAGGTGAGGCCCAGGCTGAGGGCTGGGGGCTGGCATCCAGCTGAGGTTGCTGGAGGTTTCAGAGCTGCATCCCCCACCCCCGAGGGGCACCTCCTCCTCACTTACACAAAGAAGCTGCGGAGGCACAGAGAGGCTGAGCAGAAACTTGTTTCGGGTCACCTGGCCAAGAAATGGCTGAGAGGGGGCCAGGACCTGGCAGGTACAAAACGCCGTTCCCACCCTTGTCTCTTCCAGTTTTAGGAAAGTTGTTCTTTGATATAAATAGCGGGAGAATTATGAGAGGTGAGGGAAGGCAAAAGCACCCTAGGGACACATTCAGTTTGTTTCCCCAAGGCCAAAAATGAGTCAATGAAGTGTTCCTTGGTGCAGACTAACACTGATCCATGGGCGTGCAAGGGGAGAGTGCTGAGCCACGTGCTAGGGGTGCAGACGACAGCAGTGCTTACTGTTTGTCTTTTAGCCAAGCAAATAATTTAAGGCAGGAGTCTCGAGTTTACATCGGAGGCCCTGCCATCCACAGGGCAGGTGAAGTCACAGACTTCCGGCTCTCGCAGGAAGCACCACTGGCCATGTTTGCTGGCTTCTCTAATCTGCTTAGGAAGAGAATCCGGACTTGCTCCTTGATGTGGGAGTGAGAGAGAGAATAGAGTCTGGAAATTTCCCTGCTGTGTGCCTGGGCTGTCCACAGCGGGCGTATTTATCAGGGACTTCCAGTGTTGACTGCCAGCATTGTCCTGTGGCTTGTTCAGATGAGCTGGATAAGGAACTCCTTCTCCAGGATGGGCCACATGCTTTGTTCATTGTTCGCAGGACTGGCACCGGCTGTGGGGCCTCAGGTCTGTTTGCTAATGGGGAGATTTGGTTTTGAGACCCAAAGGCGCTGGGCATGGATACCCCATTTGCATTCGGCTCTGAGGTGTAACAGAGACGGAGCAGATTTCCTTGTTCTATTTTTTTTTTCACAACTCTTGCACTGACACTCAAGAAAGAGATCAAATTTGCGGGAAATACGAGCTATCAATAAAGATGGTTATAGGATCTGGACTTGGAGCCCACAGGAACCCTGCTTTGAAGCGGTTCCTCTGCTCCGCAGCCATGTGAACTTGGGCCATTAGCCTCCAAGCCACTATTTTCTCATCTGTAGAATGGGGAGAGTCTCTACCTCGTGGAGTTTGAGGCTTACAAGAGATAACACTTCCAGGGCCAGATAGATAGATGGGGGGCTACCTAAATATCAGTCCTTTCTCTGCTCTCTCAGACCATCTCTTGGGTTTCTGTCTTGCAATGATATTTACAAGATTTCATAAAGCTATCTTTCTGTAAATTTCAGTTTGGCACATTTTATCTATCTATCTATCTATCTATCTATCTATCTATCTATCTACCTACCTACCTACCTATCTATCTATCTATCTATTTTCCAAAGTTGTTGAATAAATATATCACAGTGCCCCAAACAATATCATCATTTATGATAGCCGGCCAGCAAAGGTACAGCAGTCAAGTTTAAGAACATACCTTTCTAGACAGACCAAGTTCAAATCCCAGCATGATCGCTTGTTACCTGTGTGACCTTGGGCAAATAACAGAGCCTGTCTGTGCTGTGGCTTTCTCATGGTAAATAGGGATAATAGTAGTGCCTCCCTGGGAGAATTTAAATGAAGTCATTCATGCGAAGCATCTGAAATGAGACTGTGTGGAGAACTTGGGCTTAAAGCATAGGTAGTCTTAGTGGGAGGCAGATCAGCAGTGAGTTTTCCAGAATGTTTCAAGACCCTTGTTGTTTGAGTTTTCATCGTGTGAATGCCCCTGCAAGGATCGGAGTCTCACCAATCACCCACAGCCTGGATCCGGAGTTCCAGGCATGTATTTCACCAGGATGGTTCAAAAGTCAGGCTGGTGAGTCCAGGGGCTTGAGTGACACCCTCGTGCCGCCCCCTTTGAGCGGTTTCATTTGGGTGAGAGTTCCCAGCTCCCGGGAGGTGAGGCTCTCAGTGGGTTGCAACTCTGGCGAGGCGCTTGCCATCGTCCAAGTGGATCAGGCTCGCGCGGGAAGCAAACGCAGTCAAGTCGGTAAGAGACACCCCTGGGCAGAGCAAGCTGGGGACTTGGAGCTCGGGTTTTCTTCCTCTGAGTGGGTCTCCGTGCCACTCTCTGTCTCTAGGCTCCCCCGTCTAAGACGAGGAAGCAAGCACCCGTTTCTCTTGAGGGAGGTAGCACAGAAAATCAATCACGAGGCTGTTCTCCTAGGAGCAGCATCACGCGGGCAGAAAGAACGCTGGACACGCTCTGTGAAATGATTCAGCGACAGGCCTGCTTCAGAGGGGCGCCACCCAGCAGGAAGCTCACTCTGTGTCACCTTCCTGAGACCCCGCCCCCACCTCAGCTCACAGGACCAGGGTGGAAAAGCAGACCTCCAGTCCAGCATCTTCTGTCCCAGTCCAGTTCAAGGCAGTCTCAATTCATGACAGCAATGGAACATTCTAGGCAAACCTTCCTCCAGGTTGCAGCAACCTCCGGGGAGGGCATTTGTGGAGTTCGCTAAGGGAAATGGTTTGCCAGTTGCTTGTTCTATGTATTATAAAATCACCGAGTTTTGGGGAACATGACCTTGAGTGCACACATACTCCTCAGCCCTGGTGTCCTGGTTTTCTGGTTGGCTAGCAGCATCAAGCCCGGGACCTGTGTCAGGACGTACTGTCTCCTGAGAGACACGTGAGTTCATTTAAGAGAAGTGTGGCTGGCGCCGCGACTCACTAGGCTAATCCTCTGCCTTGCGGCGCCGGCACACCGGATTCTAGTCCCGGTCGGGGCGCCGAGTCTGTCCCGGTTGCCCCTCTTCCAGGCCAGCTCTCTGCTGTGGCCAGGGAGTGCAGTGGAGGATGGCCCAGGTGCTTGGGCCCTGCACCCCATGGGAGACCAGGAGAAGCACCTGGCTCCTGCCATCGGATCAGCGCGGTACGCTGGCTGCAGTGTGCCGGCCGCGGCGGCCATTGGAGGGTGAACCAACGGCAAAGGAAGACCTTTATGTCTGTCTCTCTCTCTCACTGTCCACTCTGCCTGTTCAAAAAAAAAAAAAAAGTGCATCGCAGGTAAATCAGACTTCTCCCAGTGGTTCGTCCCTTCTCTTTCTCCTCCTCCTCTCCCTTGCTTCGGCACACAGGTACTGTCTTGAGCCTCCAACCCTATCGCAGGTGAGCGGACACAGCGCTCTGTCCCTGTCCCCAGGGAAATGAAGATACAAGCAGGTAAACAGCAACTGCACTGTGATATTATCAGTGCTCTGGGTGCAAATGACTGGCAGGGGAAAGCCATTTTCACAGAGGAGTTGACATTTGTGCTGGTACTCAGAGAGGAGTAGGAGTTAAGCCAGCAGAAAAAAACAAGAGGGATAGAGGTGAGGGAAGGACTTGCCCCGGAGATGGGCCAGCATGATTGGATCTAATGTGCTGTCATGGTCCCCACTGTGTGGCCTAGGGAGGCAGACCTACGATGTGCAGTTGCTGCTGTGCGTGGTCCCCAGCGAGCTGCCCCCTCCCTGAGCTTTGTCAGTTCATCTTTAAAGCCGAGATGGCCCTGCTCACGGGGTAGTGTGAGTTGTGTGTGGGATGCGGTAGCAAGGTGCCAGGTGGTTACGGTGAGCCCTGCGCTGGCAGCATCCAGGAGGTGGGGTACTCAGTGACAGAAGGTCATAAGGGTCCTTTGTACACGCTGAGCTATTATCCAAATGCAATGGGAGTGGCGCTTTGATTAATATTTCCAGCGCAGTTCCTCTGAAACCCTGGCTTGCTGAACTCTCCTCGGTAAATATTTGAAAGTGGTTGCCTGGTATCGAGGCCCTGGGCCAGCAGGGCTCCTGG